CTTGACTGAACTTCAGCCCCCATTATAACTGAGTGCATGTTGTGTTTTTTTCTGTTTTAAACTGCATTGTTTTTGGTGTTTTTAATCTTTTTAATATTTTAATTGCTTTTATGTAAGCCGCTCGGAGTCCTTCGGGATTGGGCGGCATACAAATCTATTAAAATTACCAAATTACAAATTTTAGGAGGCAAAAAAATCCTGTATTCGGTCTATAAGACACACCCAGATTTTCAGCCTCTCTTCTGAGGGGAAAAGGTGCGTCTTATACTCCAAAGAATACGGTATCTACTGCCCTTGGGAGTCCTGGGGAAGTGGCACAGGATGCGGTTTGGCCCTCCGTGTAAGCGATTCCGTGGTTCTCTTTCAGGCGGTGGCGGCCTTAATGGAGATGGGCTTTGACGAGAAAGAAGTGGTGGACGCCCTCAGGGTCAACAACAACCAGCAAAACGCCGCCGTGAGTCTCCCCCGACTTGAGCAGGGCTGACCTGCTTCTCCCACGCAAGCTTCCCCAGGAGCCCAAAGTCCGCCGGGGGAGGGGGGGAACGTGGCAGCTTCTCCCAAGGAGAAAAAGGGGTCAACCTACTCTCCAAAGCTCCTGAAGGGCAAGACTAGAAGTAGCCGGTGGAAACTTATTAAAGAGAGAAGCAACATAGAACTCGGGAGGAATTTCCTGGCAGGGAGGGCAATGAACCAGTGGGACGGCTTGCCTCCAGAAGTTGGGGGTGCTCGAACACTGGAGGGCTTTCAAGAGTCTCTGTAAGGTCTCCTGCCTTGAGCAGGGGGGTTGGACTAGAAGACCTCCAAGGCCCCTTCCCATCCTATGATTCTGTGTCCGGAAATGCTTGGATGGGCTCCTTCAAAAACCCTGCTGACTGCATGTTTAGTGAGATGATGGTGATGATAGCAATTAAGCTTGTAATCTACCCAATTCTGGATGGTTAAAATGAAAGTGAAACCTTTTTCCAAGGGGGTTGCGTTCTTGGAAGAGTTTGCCCTGGGCTTTTTACATTTCCCCAATTTAGCCAGAGATTTCCTGGTAGGTTCCCATCCATAGCAATAGCAGTTTGACTTATATACTGCTTCATAGGGCTTTCAGCCCTCTCTAAGCGGTTTACAGAGTCAGCATATTGCCCCCAACAACAATCCGGGTCCTCATTTTAC